GGGGAGGAAGGCAAATCTGAGCCATGTCCACATCCTTACTTGGAGGAATGGGGCTGAGCGAGGAAGGAGCTGTAACAGAGGAGACTGTCAGCTGAAGGGTCATCCCTCATTGAGAGGGATAAGCCCATTAGCTCCTACCCCAGAGACACTAAGGCCTTTCATATGCAGATCACCTCCGCTTCCACCCCAGGACACAGATTTCTGGGGCCTTGGATACCCTCAACCATGACACCTCAGTTCTCTGGATAGGCAGCTCTGCTAATCCCCTCACTCTCTTCTTGAGCCTCCCAAGAAGATGGGTGGAGGCCTAGGGTGAGTAATCCCATCAAAAACTCCTAAGGCTGGAGCCCTTCAACGGGGGGAGTGGGCAAGGTAGGAGGGGGGCCCAGAGGCTCACTGAGGCATTCTCCTTGCCTGGACACCGTGGCTGAGTGATGGTGTCATCACTGACACCATGGCCTGGTGACGGGTGAACAAAGGGGCCTGTTCATCCATCCTTCGCTAGCCTCAGATTCCTGTGGCCTGGAGAAGAGCTAGAGACTGATTTCATCTAAGCTGTCCACAGAGTTCCTGTGGAGTCCTACCCTATCAGAATGCTAGACCACAGTGAGCAAACCTTGTCCATAGCGACCAGGCCCTAATCCCAACACTAATTATATGAACTTGATCTGTAACCCAATTCTAAACCAAACGCTAATCTTGGCCAAACCTTATTTCTAGGACAACCACGAATCTTAACCAAAAGCATCCAACACTAAGAAAACCCTACTCCTAATTTAGGCCTAACCTGAACTTACCTCTTGATCTAGCTTTCTTCTAACCCCAAACTTAACCTACTGGCACAAACTTAATCCTACTGGCACTGGGCTTCTTCACTAACTCTAACCCAAACAGTGGCCTTCAGAAAGTCCGTATGTCTGGGAAGAGATATAAAACTGTACATCTGTACAACTACTACAGAGAAAGAGTCCATAGTTTTCACCAGGTTCTCAAAGAAGTTTGTGAGTCAAAAAATGTTAAGGACCTCTGCTTTGACCCACTCTAACCAAGCCCAATTCAAACCCCAATATCCTTAAGCAGTTCCCTACCAAAGCTACCCACTCTTCCTCTAGACCCATAGCTTTAGTCTAGACTTGTTCTTCCTTCCCTCGTCCTAACCTCTGGGGGCCCACAGCTTCCTCTGTCTGTTAGGCTTCCCAGCAGAGGGATCAGGAGCTCTTGGCTTTGAGCCAGGCCATGACCTTACAGCAGGGCCTGGCTCTCCTCACTGCTCTGAGACACCTACTTACTGTCTGTTCAATCTCTGTAGCTTCCTCCCTGGGCATGCGTTCCAGAAAGTCATCATAATGCTTCAAGCCGATGGCCTGCTGGGTAGTTAGGGAGGCCTGGTTGCTGATGTCTTCTAAGCTCCGGAAACCCTGGAGAAAAGAAGCCAGTTGGGGCACTATGAGGAACCAGGATCAATGAAGAGGCAGTGAATGAACATATACACAAGGCTTTCATCACCCTCAGACTCCAAGGAAGACCTGAGGCAGGACCTACCCCAGGAGCAGTTGGGTCTGTAATCAGTGGAACTTGAGAAAGACAGGGGGAATGGAAGACATGCCCCAGGCCAGCCCTGCCACAATCCAAAAATACTGGTTCATGATTCCATCAGTCTGGGGGTGAATCTGGGCAGGCCAGATTTGGGAACCACTGCTCTGGATACTCAGCCCTGAGGCCTGATCTCTTCTGAACGGCCCTTGCTGGTCTGGGAGGCAGAGAAGCATACTTCTTGTCTCTGCCATAGATTAATGCCTCAAGTATACCAAGCAACAGGGCAGTTCTGGGAGGTAGGAGAGGGGTTTACATGAGCCCTGGACCCTTTGATAAATGGTCTCCCTATAGTCTGGGTCCATTACCATAAGAGGACAGGGTAAGAGAACTGTAGGTCAGGAGCTCTGAGACACAGAAAAACTGAGATGGGGTTGGGACAAGGTATGACCTGATGGTACCACATCTGGGCAGTCTTGATTCCGGCTCCCCAAATATTAGAGAAAAGCTCCAAGACAGGCACATTATCGCTGATGTGGTCTAGCTTCCGGAGGTGTCCACTCTCTAGGATTTCTACAATCTTCTCGGCCATCCGTTTCCCAATCCCAGGGATACTGCAGGCCTCCTAGAGGAAGGGGTTGGCAGAGGCAGGAAAAAACAGTGAGAAGATGGGAGGGGGAGGGCCAGAGGATGGGGAAGCTGACTCCTTTAGCAGATGTATGAGTAAAAGCCAGCCTGGCCAGTTGGCAACTAATGGCTGTGTAAAGCTTGGGCACAACTGAAGATGAGAAGTTTGGATGGAATGGGCTGCTTAACTTGTCTTTTGCTTCCCGGGGGGTGGTGGGGGTGTGTGTGTGGATATCTGCACATGAAGTAGAGAAAAGGCAATAATGGTGATTCTAGTTACCATCACCATCACAACAGTGAGAGCTAACATTTACTGAGGCCTTACTGTATAGCAGGTTGTGCACTACAGAGATCACCTCATTTAGTCCTCAGAGAACACTGACTTTGTTACTATTCTTAGTCCCTTTTTACTGGGTGAGGAAACTGACACTCAAAGGGTTTAAGTAACTTGCCTAAAGTCATACAGGTAGTGAATGATGGAAAACAGAATTCAAACCTTGGTCTGTTGGCCTCCAGAGTCTAAATGTTTTTAAAACTTTATTATGGAAAAAACTCCAAAGTAGAGAGAACAGTGTAATAAACCCTCAAGTAACCATTACTCAGCCTCTATAATAATCAAGATTTTGCCAATCTGCTTTCATCAATCTCCCCATTTTTTCCTTTTGTGCAAGTCCCAGATACCATAAAATCTTAACCACTCCACCTGATCCCTACTTGTGACCGATGCCTCCACCAACCTCTAGCCAGTAAAGAGAAGACCACATCCCACCCCTCTGCATACCGTGCCCTGGGCCCCAGGTACCTGGTAGGAGGTGACAGGCTTGTGGAAGCTCTTGAGGGCATTGATGGCCTTGGCATAGCCCAGGGCCCTCCACTTATCTCCCTGAACACTGTAGGCTTTGGCCAGCACTTCCAGCTTTTCTGTGATGTGGGTGTTGTGGTTAGTCGCCTTCTGACTTGAAGGCTGTGCACAGACCCACTTATCCAAACCTGCAGGAGCTGGGCTAGGCTCACCATCTCCCTCAGGGGGGATGGGGTAGCGGCCACTGATCAGGGCTTCCAAATCAGCTGTGCTAACCTGGGTCTCTTCCCCATCACTGGTTTCATCATTGGAGTCGGGCTTGAGGTAAAGAAGAAGAGACAATAAATTCCTGTCTCCCATGAATGCTTCTCGAAGGTGGGGGTTGAGTCTCCTGGTTAGGCCCAAGAATTAGGCTGGGTCTTCTGCATCAGACTTGGGTCTCCTAAGTGTGGGGCTGTGTTCCATTTGATTTCCTTGGTCCCAGCCCTAGAATGCCTAGTGGCATGTGGTAGACATGATCTGGGCAAATACAGGAGTGATGAATGTTGGGAAGAGTTAAATAGGTTCACAATAAAGAGAGCTCTCCTCTCTCAGGGGCACTGGACTTTCTGAACAATCACTAGGCCCTCCCTGTTTCTGTGATCTCGTTGCCAGGGAAAGGGAACTGTGGGGGCTGAAAGGCTCCTTACTTGGGCTTGGGTGCTTGGAGCTTCTTCTGTCCTCTGGGGAGGAGATACAGGTCTAGTGGGAGTAGGGGGAAGAGAGGGGGCTGTCCTGAGCAGAGCCTCACAGGCTCCAGGAGTAGAAGAGTCTTGGTCTGCCTTACTGAGCTGTGGTTGGTCCAGGTACCTGTAGGGATGGTGATGGGAAGTTAAGGCACCAAAGGTCTCACCCTATCTCTGCTCCCAATCCTTCTCTACTCAGAAACCTTGGTTTTCTAATGTGTTCAATTAAGACAATGAATTATTTTTAATAACTCAAGGAAAGAGCTCAAGATGCTGCCCAAAAACATCTGAGGAAAGACTGGGACCAGCCCACCTGTTAGGGATGAAGATGCTGAATCCTGCTGTATCCACCAGCCTTCTCTCCTGCAGGCACAGGCTCAGCCAGGCTGACTTAACCAGCTGAGCACCTGGGGGCAGCCGGGGCAGTCTAAGGAGGCGAAGGGCTCGCTCACAGTCCATGCCATCATCCACCACAATGTGAGTGACCCCTGGGGCCTGGGCAGGGTATATCTGACCACCATGTTGGACAATCTGCTTCTCAAAGAGTTCTGCCCGGGCTCGCCCAATGCCAGTGGGCACAACATGGGCCCGCACGGAGCTCAGCCACTCTGTGGAGGAGATATCCATATGCCTATTGTCTTAACTTACACACATGACCTGAATAATACTGTTATAGTCCCCTACCCCCCAAACAATCATTTTCCTTCCATTCAGATAACCTGCCTTCTGGGAGTTCCATCACAAGCACATAGTTAATTTTCCTCATGGGCTATCATTTGATGTAAGGGGCAAATTAGAGCAGTGTCTGACACATTGTAGGCATCCTGTAAGTCACTTTGTTCATTTATTTGTTCAACAAGTATTAATAGATCCCTACTGTATACCAGGCACAAGGCATACATGTCTTGCTATTATAGGCTGTACAATCTAATAGATCCTTCCCACCCGATGTAAGCTTTTGCCATCTATTTGTCAGTTTGGCTGCAAAGTATCTTATAACTCCAGGGACCTGAGATGGATTTCTGCACTCCCCCCTCCCCACTACAGGCAATCTCCTGGAGAGCAAAGGATTCTGCTGGTCATTTCCTTAGGGACCAGGGAATATTTTCTGATTAATGGAGGTCTCAGGTGGAAGATTAATGGTAGAAGATAACACAGCAAGTGGTCTGTCAAGGACCTGGGACCAAGCTTAGTAAAAAGCAGGTATAAACCAACTTGCAGGTCCTGGGTGGGCAGACTCAGCTCTAATATCTGATTCTGGCCATAAACAATGTAGAAACTCTAAAAGTTCGGGCACATGAGGGTTCTGAGATTGGGTCCGCTTACCTCTTGCTCCTTCTCCGTCTTCCTTCTTGGGAATCTTTGCAAGTGCTTTTGATGATGGACTGGTATGAATTTTCTTCCGCTTGGGAAATGCCTTCAAGATGCCCCTGGGGTCCATTGACATATGGCTAGATCCTGGCCTTTCTATCCGAGGGTTGATGAAGGCAGCTGTCACGTGGACACCCAGAATTGAGGTTCCTCAACCTCTTTGCCTATGGAGGTGGTATCTCTACTGACCAGGCCTTGGCGGCAGCAGCCCAGTTCCCCAGGGCCTCCCAAAACGCATTTGAATTTCATTGGGTTAGCCTAGCTCTCCACTCATCAGCCTTTCCAAGTCAGAGTACTGGAGAAAATAGGGGGATGAATGGAACTATTGGGGGAATTTTTGAGGGGTACTAAACAGTATCATTCCTCAGATGGGCTGCTCTAAAGAGTCAGTGCAGTGTCTGCCCTGCTGCATCCCAAAAGGGTTATCAAAAGGGGATGCCAACTTAGGAAATGGAGCTACATCTTTAGGAAGGACTTGGGCTCCCAAGAGGAGTGGAGATTGGGTGAATCTGCACAAACTCCACATAATCTTTTTCTACTCCCATCACTGACCCGCAGAGAAAAACCTGGGGGTGCGGGTGTAAGGTGGGAAGTTAGGGAGGCAGGCGGAACACCCTGCATCTGCCCTGGTAGCAGGCCTCTCGGCATGGGAGTGCTCAGCCCCGCAGCTGCAGCTGAGGGAAGATGGGGCACGGCCACAGCAGGTGTGCGGCGCCTTCCGGAACTGGGGGAGTCTCGGCCTCACAGCTGGGGGTGGAGAAGATTCTAGCAGGTGTAGGGCACCCGCCACGGTCGCAGCTGGAGCGTGCTCGCGACTCCCAGCTGGAGGCCAGACGAGGGACCAAGTGTCCGGACCCTGCCCTGAGGACCCCTCCCCACTCCCCGGTCTGGGGCAAGGTCCACTTCAGGCCCAGCAAGTCACCCTGGGGTGGACAAGAGTAAACTACTACTTACTTCGCAGAGCAACCGATGACAGCGG